GGGGAGCGACGCGGCGGCGACGGTGTCGGAGTGGAGAGGATGTGCTAATCCTTTTTAGGGTTTGGGGATGGATAGGATATGGGGGAGGAGTGTATATATATTAATTTATTTTAAATAGATATAAAAATAAAAATAATGTTTTTAAATTATTAATTAAAACCTGAATTTTGCAAAAATGAAACTTGATCCAAGATTTATGAAATTGGTAATCTAAAAGCAGATGTAGGTGTAATTTCCTCTTAACTAAATGGGCTTAATGTAAGCAAGTGTTGCTTAATTTGATCAGCCCAATCAATTAGCGTCGCTAACAACAAGTGAGCTAATATTGAACTCGCCATGTGCATGCCACGTACCCCTCTAACAAATCTTTAACTAGTTTTACTTTCCTATTTCCATCTTCAACTTTTGCACGCTCTCATTTCCTACACATATAAAAAGAGTGAGATTCAAATCACTGTAGAAACTCTCGTCNAATCTAGAAAAATTATATCTATAGTGAGACATATATGTTTGAGCCAACCCTACCTTTTTGTTGCCTCTGGATCTGCAAAAATTATATCTCAGATTGTTAATTTCGGGATTTGGGTTTTCTGGTTAAATTCTAGTAAATATGCTGTCTTTAGTTCTTCCTTTTCAAACAATAATGCTCAGGAGATAACGGTTTCATATCTACATATTATCTTTAAAAATTCACATCTTTCTTGGATGCACTAATAATTATTAGGATTAATTTTGTGGGATTCTTGGTTTGGTTAAATTTATTTATAATGCGGCACATTTCTATATTTTATCTGTGATTTACTGACATATTTCCGGTGTTTTTGGTTATGATACTTGCTCAATTCTATGAAACCTCCAATAAAAGTATTTAATTTAACAGAAATATATTGTTTTTGTCTACATCAGTTGATGAGAATGAACCATACAATTCTCTCCTTTTTTTTAATTTAATTTAAGCTTAAACAAAGACTTTGATTGGTCAAATGAATAGCTTTAAATATTCACCCATAAGTTTATTCATGCATATATCTGTTTTCTTTTATATTGCTTTCTCACTGTAATGACGAAGATACTATAAAAAATGCCTATGTTCATTAGTAAGCCTATGTTCATTAGTAACAACTTATCCTATAGTAAATTCCTGCACAATTTCGTGCATTTCATGAGGATAGGGGAAGAAATTGTAATGTAAGATTCTAAAATTGTTAATGTTTGATAATTAATCTCGAGGTCAGGCACACTTTTTTCTTCCATTGTTGTCTCTCGTCATTATCTGTTGAATATTTTCATTTGTTAATAACCAAAGTTCTCATTTGGAGATATTATTAGTCACATTATGGACTTCACGATTATCTGAATTTTTTTTTATGAATTCTTCGTTTTTTAATGAATCCAACCCTTATCATCAGCTATCTTATAGGTTAAGGACACCCTGATGAACAAAAATGTAAAAAATTGAAATTGTCAATACTAAAAAAAAATTGAAGTATCATAAAGAATTATTATAATTTGCTATCAAGATTTTGTCATGATCATTACATGGGTGTGTTATGTCATCACATAATGTAAAATAATATAAAACTATGTTGGTGCCTTTTCTTAGAAATATCGTATGCATTTCCTAGTCTTAAACTGCTTTATTTATGGTCAAGTCTTCCACCTGCTACTTCTGAAATCTTGTTCTTTTTTATTCAGAAAATCTGGAAATTTGGGGGATTTAAAGAAGAGAATCTATAGGCTTTTTTTTTTTGGTAAGGATGTCTGAAACATATACGATGAGTAACAATGAGATGGTTCAGCCTTACTTTAATGGTACAATTCCAGCTGAAGTTGCTAAAAATTTGAAAGAGATCTTTCCCGAGTTTGGAGATCTTGATGACGAAGAAGTTCTTCTGCAACAGGTATTTCAGAATTTATGCAGCTTTCTTTCCATTTTTTTTAAGATTAGCTAAATATAGTGTTAGATTGTCAAAACAAAGCCATGAACAATGGATCTTATGGAGCTCAATTGCACCTTACACTTTTCCATCGACCATGGGATCTCATGAGGCGTCAGGGGTGGTTGCCCCCAAGACAATTATTCTTTACATATATAGGGATTATATAAGGTCGCTTTAATACTCCAACCATATAAAGAATTCATGAAGATCCGCTTTTGGATGATATATATAGATTAAGAGGCGTGCCACTATTGTAGTTCTCCTTCATTATATTGTAGCTCTCTTATTGAAAGTGGATTATTATAAATCTGTGTACTTGCTCGTGTGTGTTGGTGATTTTGCTTTGCTTAATATGCTCGTTTTAGGGGAATTATGTCTTAATCCACAACACATAGGATACATGCTTTCAGGATAGTCTGGTATTCTGCTTTTTTATTTTCAAGGAACTAATTGACAGCTTTCTGTTGTGTCCCAGGAAAGTGCATACATGTATATTCAAGCCAATGAAAAAAACAAAGTTACGACCTTGGCTTTGGGTCAAACCAGTAACAGGAGTGAGTTTTCGACAGAAGTGGGTGAATCATCACGTGGTACAAGCGTTGAATCACAGTTGGCCTTTGACGAAGCCCTTGCTAGATCCTTGGAGTTGGGAGACGATTTTAACAATTTATATATTTTGGAGCACAGCGGCACTGCAGTTGGTAATTAATTCCAATTGGTAGTCTTTCTGTTTATATTTTAGTCAGTAGTTGGTATTCTCAATACCTCTAAATTCTGCAATATATATTATTTAATTGGTAAACTTGCCAATTTTTGTTGTCTTTCTGTTTTGTAAAAGAAACTTTTCTGCACATTTTGTTCTCTAAGATAAATTATATTTGCTAAATAAGTATGGTTCTATTGCTCCTTTGGTGCTTAGATTTTACCATTTTCATCATTGGTAAATAAATATACACTTCTAGGCTGTCGAATGTTAAGGAAGGCTAGATGGAAAGTCATAGCTCTAAATTAACGTGAAATCTAAACGCACAAAAATGTTGATATGAAAGATAAAAAAATGATTAACCTGGGGATTTTTATATCAATAATCAGCCTCTGTTCTGCAGGAGGGATGAAATTGAAAATTTCTTTACCCGCGGTGAGGCATAGGAAAACAGTAGGAATTAAGTTTTAGTAGTGGGGATTTAAAATAATGAACGGAATGGATATTGAATCGTACCCATTTCCTTTGCCTCCTTTTTTTCCCTTTATACCCAACATTGTTAAATGTTTTCCATCCCTAATAACCTTTCCTCCCCTTCCCCATGATACCAAACTCGCAAAAGCAATTGTTCTGCTTTCTGTTTTAATAGTAATGTGATACAGAAGAGACTCAAGTTCAAATAAAAAACAGAATGAGCCTAGAATACTGGTCCAGAAAATACCAAGTAGGACCAGGAAGTAGATAAATGTTAAGAAACCGTTGACGAAGGCAAATATATGAGCAGGCATGCATATGTACACAACTATGGATACAACATTTAAGTCCTTATCAGTTTAAATTTTTTTTGTTTTCATTGCCATATGGAGTAATTATTCATTTTTAATGATGCTGATTCTGTAAGTGACCTGTATATTTATCTGCAGAGAGCAGAGAATCAACTCCTAGGGAAACACCTATCCGGGTACTTGTGCTACTTTATCACGCTTCATGCTTTGTACTTTTCATTTCGTGAGGTAAAACTCGTGGTATGATATATCATTTGTGTTTAAATGCAGATTGTGGATCAGAACATAAGAGATGATGAAGTTGATACGGATAATATGACCTATGAGGTAAGTAGACTGTATAGTCGACACGAAAACTTATGCTTGACTCTTCAATTATTTGCTCCAAACTTTTAATGATTTCTGGTTCATGGTATTCTTTCTCAGTTCTCCTGCTTATTGCTGTGGTTATATGTTTCAAACTTTGACTGAAATAATAATAATGGATTGTCCGTCAATTCAATTCGATGGAGGTAGTTGTAAACTGTGAACTGTGAAGCAATATAAATATTTAGGGATTTGCGTCAATTTACACCACATACTCAAGTACCAATAGGAAAAATATGTTAAAAAGCCATTAAGAAACAGAAGCTTATCATATTTATTGGGTGTATGCACAAGAATATGTCAAGTGACTCGTGGTATGTATGGCAGGAGGATTGGATAGCAGTAAGGAAGATAAAAAAGTTAAAACATTGTTTATTGGATTGTAGAGTCGTGTCTGCATACCAAACATGCACTTGGAGTTCAGGAAGCTCCCACACTCCAAAGCCCTCACAGCAAACAAAGCCGAAGAATGGGAAGGAATAAGTCCCGTGAAAATTTACATGCACAGAAACATCCATCTTTTGTTGTCTTTTTCATTTCACCTCATCATTCCTGCTCCAAATGTATAATAGCCACAGGACTGTTTTTACGGTATACATATATGCATTCTTTTCTGTTCTCGCTGATTCTCTCTTGTTTCATCTTTTTAGCAACTGCAATCACTTGGGGAAGCTGTTGGACATGAGAGCAAAGGACTTTCAGAAGATCTCATCTCACGATTACCAAGTTTCAAATACAAAACTGGGTTGTTCTCAAAGAAAAGGAAAAAGGAAGAGTAGGAACCTATAACTCAATACATCCGTTTGTTGAATATATTGCATGTTTTAGTAAAATATATTTGTGCTATCACTAAAACACACATTCATTATTAGAACTCGTAATTACCTTGTTTAACTGACCTATGTCCGTGATATCGTATACAAATTTATGTTTATCATTGTGTGTTATATGAATTCAAGGCGTATATTTGACCTGATGATGAAAGTTGTGCCTCAGTGTTAAGTATACAAGGATTTATATCTCTTCCATCATCCATTCCTTTTTCTCCTCCTGAAACTATGTCTCTTGCATCACTTACAGAAAAACGGAAATTATTTTTTTATGTATTGCCTTCTTTTCATCTTTATATCTTAGGTGTGTGATATGTTATGCTGAATATAAAAAGGGGACTCGACTGACCACTTTGCCTTGTACACACAAATATCATTCAAAATGCATTATTCGATGGTTGAAACTCAATAAGGTACGCGTTATTTATGTCTTCTAATTCGGGGATTATGACCCCTCCTAAATTACATCTTCAGAGACTGCTTGTGCTTTGCTAAGTTTACAAGTAAAATTTACTTTGAAACAACTTCATGTTTCAAAACATGTTTGAATAAGTTACTTTTATGTAAAAAGAAGTTAGTTTGAAAATAACTATGTTCCATTGAAGTATAATTCTATCTCTATCAACAGAATTGCCCCGTTTGTCAAGAGGAGGTACGAGATGAATAATTCACAAAAGCTCACTGGACAGAATGCAGCTAAAGTCTCTGCTGCTCACGACTTGGCAATAGGAACTTCACCAGTTTTCCAGTTCCCAAATTCTACTGCTTAAAGGAATTACTCGTATTTTCTTACTTGTTCTTGGGTAGATGGCTTCTGGACTTTTAAGCAATGTAGAAGGCAGTGTATATAACCATAGTATTGCCTAAGATTGTCGTGTAGATACATTTACTGCAGCTGTACGTAAACTATATGCTTGCTGGAGCCTGTTGATTTGTGGTGATTAATATGAACTCAATGACTTGTTTGATGTGGCCAAACAAGCTCGATTTTCTGTATCAAACTTGACAGGTTTTTACTTTGCCAACATGTTATTCATCTTTTTAATAACCGTGCTAGACGAACTGGGAATTTTGCCAAATTTCCTTGCCAGACACACTTGTCAATTTCTGATTGGCAGTTTGCCAAAAAAAAAAGGGAAAAAAGACCAATCATGTGTTGCCAATGCAGCAGCGCCTGTATGCCTGGCAAAAATTTCCCCGGTACAAGTGGAATTTTCCTCTTTTTAATTAGAGCTTGTTTAGGACCCATTTTTCTATTAAATTGTATTTTGAAATAATATTTTTATAGATAATGTGCTGTTAAAAAATAAATAAAAGTTTTGAATATGCGTATAATAATATTTTATTGAAAAATGTGTGGTTGAAAAGAAGAGAGAAATGTTTTTAAAAATAATGAGAACCAAATAATGGCTTTATTACTGATCTAACTAACAGATTGAATCAAGGAAATCCAACTTGACAAAGATGACGAGTTCATATATTTTCAGTTCACTTTCATCTCTCATCTTATTTTCCTCCCCAATCAAAGCTCTCTCGAAACAACACACGGAAGCAAACCTCCTAACCATTCAACAAGATGAAGGGTTATTCTATCAAAGCCATATGGGCCCTGATAATGCCGGGGGCCAACTGGCCTACCACCAAAAATGCTGCATGTACATGGCCGACGTGATCGTGTAGATGAGTCACTTTCAAACTAAAAACTAACTTTTTTTTTTCTAAATTTGAAATTAAGGAAAAAAGTAACTTATATAAATATGTTTGGAAACAAAAAGTTTTAACTTTTATTTTTAAGCTTGGCCAAATAAGATAGCATATGAAATCAGGAACCTGTCTACGGGACGTCTTTTCTTGCAAAGTTGCAACACTGCTATAGTGCTATGGAATTTCTCACCTTCGAAAATCTAGTTCGTAACATGCATTACTAGTTTCCGATTAAGTGCAGGATTATCTGTTCCACTTCTACTCACTGGCATTAATTAGTTCCGGGATTATAAAACAGCTTTGTCTCAATTATTTTTCCATTTTGCAGCATCGCCTATATTCAAGCTGTTGGAAGACCACTCTCACCAGCATTTGATATGAAAATGATGGATCAGTCTGGGAAATGCAAGTTAGAGTTTTATCTTGAAGCGGCGGCACATTGTTTGTGAGGCCGGGCAGAATAGTGATTATTCTGCAGGTTGGAATCAATTGACAAATATAAAAAAGAACGCAAGAGAAACACCAAGAGAAACGAGAAAATTCTTTATTATTCAACAACTGAACGAAAATAATCCACAAGCCGGGTTAAATAGCTAGAAAATATTAATTATCAGAATTTTGCCAAAAATAGCAAAATTTTATTCTTCATACCAAAACGAAATACGTAATGAAAGGAAGAACATCCCAAAAATCTGGCTAAATTTGAAGTCGTAATCTATGTCAAAAAGGAAATCGAAATATTACTAAAAATATCAAAAAATAACTTAAATTGATGATTCGGACTGAAAAATAGCTGAATTTGACCTCGAAACCGATGCACACCGAGCATAGCTGGGTGCCCACGACGTGCGCGCCGGAAAGAACTTTTCGAATTAGGGTCATGGGCATGATTCTGACAATCGTAGCCAAAGTTATGGCCAAAATATCGAAACATGTCCAAAAGCGGCCCCAATTAGGAAAGATCGATGATTATTTGTCATTCTTGCGCTGATCCGCCAACTCATGGTATCTCAACGACATTAACGAACTAGCAGACAGCTCGACCTCGTCTGGACCGATTGTCCTGGATGATGACCTTGATTCAGATGACACAGTTCTTTGCCTAGGTTTAGTTTCAGTTTCTTGGTTACTTTTTTGCTCATTATCTGTGTTTTTTGCCCATTACTAGTCCGACCTACCTTGTCATTGAATTGAGTTGTCTGGCAACATATGTTACTGCAATATAACGGGCAAATGATCCTATTTCTCCGGAAGAAGTTGTTTCTTTGTTAAGCGGATCTTTTGAATTGGAAATATTAAGCCCAAAATCTTCAGTGTGTTGTACAGTGCGCGACATTGCAGGTTGGTTTGTTACCTTGCACTCGTAAATCATAAGACAATTTTCCAATTTTCCAGAAATCATGACAGTTTACTTGTAAATACTTATTATTATAGCTGGACTTTCAACTTTCAACTCCCAACTCGCTTCAACTAATCTTACTCAGCAGAAGATGAGGGCAAGATGGAACGACCTGTTATGATACACAGAGCCATTCTTGGTTCTGTTGAACGAATGTTTGCTATACTTTTAGAGCACTACAAGGGAAAATGGCCTTTCTGGCTTAGTCCACGCTAGGCAATTGTTTGCCCTGTTTCCGACAAGTCTTGGTCATATGCACTGGAGGTGGATTAAGTGCAACAGCTTTTTGCCCTTCTCTTATAGACTTAAAGATAGACCCACTTCTATTGAAATCGTGAAATGTGAAGTGTGTCACTGCTTATCTTCACATTGATGGAAAGAGATGTCCTAAAGCATAACATAAACTATATATTACTGCTTTGTTTTCCTTTCAATTCATGAATGTTTTTGGACTTAATAGATTACTTCCTAAAATTGCGGAAATCCTTCATCTTGTTGAATATAGGTAAGAAACCGCATTCATGATGCTGGTTTCTATGTTGATGTTGATACAAGTGACAGAACAATCCAGAAAAAGGTGTGTTCAGAGTTACTCCCTCAAATCTTTATTTGCTACAGTGCCAACTGCTCTGATGTTCTGTTCTAGGAAGAATTATGCTCATAAAATTATCCATATTATGTTTCTCATTTTTTTTCCTAAACATGCTTGTTACTGGTTCTTCAATCATTTGTCGTGGGCACCTATGGAAATTTTTACCCCAAGTGTCCCTGCATTATTATTGTGACCAAGGACCCAATATGATTTTTTCAATTTCCATTATTAGGTTCTTCATTGATCAAAATTTGGAAGAACTATTATTTCTTTTTTTACTGCCCATGTGACAGCATAATACATCCAGAAGGATGAAGGACGGACTTGCTAGCATATCTGTCTCATTACAATTTTACGCAGACCGCTAAATTCACATCAAGCTTATACAGCTCATGTTAAGGTCATGGAGGAAAACATTGTTTGACCGGAGATGAGAATAATATTCATTTTGCCGAGCAATTAAAAACTGCATAATAATATAATGTTTTAGGACAGTTTGAAACATTGCAAGGTTTGCCTCCAAAGCCTAAAGCATAAGTTTCTGTCAGCCAACTATTTTTGAGCTACAGGTTGGGGTTGAGTGTGGAGGTATGTGGGAATGATAGTATTTTGTGAAGCTGGAAAAATGAAGTTGTAGACCTGATAAAGAAATTGGCCTGTTGCTACAGATTCATCTATAGATACTCATTTTTATGAAGTTTTTCGTGTGTAAATTTTTTGTTGTATACCAAATTATGCTGGGGGTACTTGTAGGTACGAGAAGCTCAATTGGCACAGTACAATTACATATTGGTGGTTGGCGAAGAGGAGGCAAACACTGGACAGGTTAGAATCTGCCATTTTGTGTAATATTAAAAACATTATATTGTTTAGAACTTAGAACTGTAGTATTTTTATTTCTTTATCTAGAAGGCAGAGGTGTCCCGGTTGAATTTCTTTTGTGACATCTTTCCACGATCTCGGTAATTTTTACGTGACATTTGTTAATTTGTTGCCTCAATACTGACCTCGTATCCTTTATCAAACACGCCCAAGTTGCTGTATAGGGAGAAGTGTGGATTTGTGGTAGTGGCTTGGATTAAAGTTATATTCATATGTTCCTAGGATGACAGGCTTTGTAATGTCTCAAGGTTGACAATATTTGTAGATGTCAGCCTGGTATTCTTCGAACCAATTAATTGTTCAGTGCATTGATAAGTGGTGTCAAGCTGCAAATATCCTCTATCTCGACGTGTGTGTACTATTGAGGACCCATAAATTGACATTGCTGGGAATTGAGATGACAAAAAATAGAAATGCAATTTTTCATTGTGACATCAAATAAGATATAAGAATAAAATGACTGGTTCTAATAGAAAATTTCTGAATTTGTAATGGTGAATCTTTTCTTGTACTGCAGATCTCTCTTTCCGTGTCTCCCTCTTTATTTTCCCCAACTCATCGAAAGTGGCAAGTGTTCGGGTAAGAGACAAAGCCAATCATGCTGTGAAGAGCATCGAGAGCCTCATGGCAGACTTCTAAGGAAGAAGTTGCAACTTTTCATTAGCAGGCTCTATCTATTGGAGGATTAGCCTGCAACTGAGTTGAAAACTATAGAAACAAAAATGAATATCATGTATACAAATATTTTTATCGAAATAAGACATCAAGGTAGGGGGAGTAGTACCTACCTACATTTTATGTGCATGTTGTAGATTCCGTATCCCTCCAATTTGTATTTTCGATTTAATTGTGAATAAACGTATACATTAATGGAAGCCAAGAAATCCCAACAAAATCAATTACCAATACAATAAGAAACACTTCTGAGCCAAGTAATGGATTGATCACAAAGGAATAAAGATAAGAAAGCCATGTCAAATTATCAATATGAAGTTGAAAGACTTCTTAGTTTACATCCTTCGATTACATTTTGCCAGAAGCTTCTGAAAAGAAAAGCAACAACGAGTTAACAATATAAATACTTTTTGAAAAACAGTACACTACGAAACGCCGCAGACAAGCTCCATAACTTTGCAGGACAAATATAAAAAAAGAAGATAATGACTGGACAAACTGTACAAACCTTGATGACAAGATTCACACCCTGATTATAGCTAATAACGGGACAAATTAAGTTAGTCATGCTTTCCAGCTATAGTTCATTTCATCAAGATCACTGTCAAAGAACCCATTCTCTGTGAATTCATGCACAATGTCATGTACCATTTCACCCGACAAAGGTAAATCTGATGATGCTTTTATGCTGCGTCCATTATTTCCACCTCCAGCAGAAGATTCACTGTGTGAAGCAGTTTTGAAATTATTAATTCCGCTAGGAGTAGGTCCGATGGCATTTCCAGGTCCAAATGCAGATGGAGCAGTTGCCCATGAAGCAGTGTTTCTACATCCAGGTCCGTCCCCCGGTACATTGCCACCTGCACCTTGCATAGAGATGGGCTGCTGTGGAACCCGAGTCCCATTATTGTTATTGCTCATATCCTGCAGATATTGCTGGATCATTTGTTGTTGTAAAGCTTGGCTGCCTTGGGAAGGTCGAGGTTGATTTTGCTGCAGTAAACCAGTACCACTGGATGCACGTTGCTGTTGATGCTGCTGTAGTACATAAGAATTAGAGAAGCCACTGACTGATAAATTCTGCAAATTACCAGAGGATGAGCCTTGAAGTGTGGAATTGGGAACCAGGTTAGAGTTATTGAAAGAAGAGGATGCCTCCTGCTGAAGAGAACTGTGGTTTGAGTTCATTGAGTTTTGTCTCATCAACATATTTTGGTAGTTTGCCAATGGAAGAGCACCCTGCACTGATCCAGTTAAAGGTTTTCGACCAACCATATACTGGTTATTGTTCATTTGGGTATTGAGTCCAGGATGCAAAGCCATTAGCTTATTGAGCGTGTCACGGTCAGTAGGCAGACACTGAAGACCTCCCATTAGCGCCATCTCTTGCATCTGACTGTTGGTCCGCCGCGGAAAATCCTTCAAGCCTTCTGAAAATGGAAGATGGAAATATCCATCTATATTAGCATTGTATCTTTGTCTAGGCATGCTTAGATACACTTGAAATAGAGAAATCACATTTACAAAGATGACATTTGCAAGCAAAAAAAAAAAAAGCAAATCATTCCATGCATGGATTATTGCACTCTATTGTGAAGTCTCATAAATGATCTCCTGACACGTGAATGTACAGAAAGGACTACATGAAAACTAAACTAAACACTATCAAGGCAGCAATCATGCTACGCGTACACTCTTCTTACATTTTCCTTTACATTCTTCCACATGGCAACATTTACACTCTTGATTTCGAATTCATCAATCACATCTTTGCACATATTTCCTCCACATAGGGTTGCGTGTCAACCAAGATGTCAAGAGTATTGTACATACAGCATTATTCATCAAGGCAGAGAAAACAAGCTAAAATACAGTTGAGTCATGTCCCGAACTCTGTACCAAACATGCTCTTTTAAAGTGAAAACAGGCAAAACATATTACCAATTGGCCCGACTTTTTGTTCCCTGCAGAAAGTCATCAGGTCTTTCATGCTATTGATAACCTCAGCTATCTGTTCAAAGCAAACAAATACGAGAGTCCTAGTAAGAAACCTTCAGTGACAAGTCAGTAGAAGTAAAAGGTTCACTAAAAGGTGAGAGACAGGCCTGGAGGCATCGCACATATCTTTTGGAAAATCCGAAATCATTAACTGATTGTAAGTCCAAACTCCTAGCAAGTTGACGTCCAGCTGTTACAACCCTGAAACATGATAGACATCCATATAACATCAGAACAGCATACAAAGGATATAGTCTAACAGAAGAAGTCTACTAGACCAGACTTTATAAACAATTGAAGTTCGTCATTTTATTTTAAGATGCTTACACTATTCTTCTCACAAACATAGACAACACAAGAAGATAGACAGGCTTTTCCACGTCTCTTTCCCATAGGACATGTAAATATTCATCACCTGTAGTCAACCCATTCAAGCACCAGTAGTTGGCTTTATAATTAAAATGCCAGTTAAAGAAAATACAATTTAAAAAAGAGTAATTATTAAGGGGATCTTTGACAAAGCTTTTGATAAAAGTTTTAGAAGATTTTGAGAAAAGTTGATGAAATGTGTGATTGAAAGTTGTGGGTCCCAAATGTTTGGTTAAAATTAATTGACTTTGACCTTAAATTTTTAGCAACTTTTAAGCTTTCCCAAACAAGCATTAAATCAGAGAGAGAGAAAAATTGATAACCATCATTTCTAGCTACACTGTGAGCTTGGAGCCAATTATAAATATCAGATCTTATGTCCATGGAGAATTTTCTGGGGCTAAGGCATCTAAGATAGAAATACTCTCTCTGTCTACTTCTAAAACTTGCATGCTTTACCATTATTGCGCATGATGTGAAATGTAATACAATATAAAAGCTCTCAAAAACATCACACGCAATAAATTCTAATCATTTAAATGGTATGCAACCTTCCAAGAAGAATATGTACAATCATGATACACTTCAAAATCCAGTTCAAAGATCTGGTTCCCCAACCCTTAAAGATCTAAGAATGCCATCTTTACAAACCAAGAACTATGAAACACTCAAATACATCGACAAATGATTTTTCTCATTTTGTTGAAAAGAAAATAAATTAAATGGCTAGACTTGGTGGAAATAAAAAAGTTTAAGAAAACAGGAGATATTATCACTCACATAACGCCGTTTGCCTGTAAATCCTGGGGAGAAACCCCATCAGGTCCACTTTCATCGATTGAGCTTTGGCATTTTTGAGCAACTTGCAATAATTGGTTTACCTGTGGAAGACATTTTTTCATGAGTCCCGCCTTCAAAATGTAATGCTGCATATCTATACCCGCTTAACGTTTATGCTAGATGGTGCTTAGAGTCCATATTTGTTGCCATAGATCCTATCTCTCTTATCTCACACAGAAAAAGGAAAAAAGACTGGCACGTTGATTAAAGCTGGGATATCAACGAATGAGAACGAAAAATATAGCTGTTATTGGAGTCCACACAAGAGATAGAAAATTTGAATTTAAATATTGATGTGATGGATAAAAGTCATATTTTTCATTTTAATGAGAAAATAAGGTGGTCCAAACGGGGGCTTAATATATTGCCCAAGAAGTGTCAGTAATGTTACTAGCAATACTAACAACTGGCAAGCCTACTATTATGTCACATCCCATTTCCCGACAAACTTAGAAAGTCATCCATCATAAATTTGGGGAAGTTCACATTTGACATTGTGATATCCCTGGTTAGTACAAATTATTAGTTTTGAATGGATCAATATTGAAACCATATTAATGGTTACAAAATAATATTTATACAATATTTAACAAAGCCACATATATTATACAGTATACATGGAGAAGCTAGGCTAACATAAGGCAGGACTTCACTGGACAAATCAAAGTTGAGTGCCAAAACGTTCTTCATTCAATAAAATGAAACAAGAAATGTCTTGAACATATTAGCAGCATTATAAAATTAATTTTAAGTACTGATGCAATTCAAAAAGAATGAAATCTAATCTGATATATAAAATATGCATAAAACTAAACTAAACTCATACAAACTAGCTTAACTTGATTGAAAGTGTGTAGACTTCTTCATAATTGTATAAAATAAAAAAGGATCAAATTCAAGAGCTGAGCATATCAAACATTATACAATATTTACCTGTGGTGCAACCAATCTACGAGGAAGAAGTTCTTCATGGCGCCGAGCACAGAATTCCCAAGACAGTATCTGAAAACGATCAGGAATAGAAGTGGTAAAAAAAAGCAAATAAAAAAAAATCCAAGTCAAATTTTACTTTCCAGTCTACCTTTAATTCGGGGGTGAAAACAATTCGAAGCTGACCCTCATGAACAACACGAAGTTGCTCATATATACTTTCTTGAACTGCCTTTGAATACTCCACCAACATCATTCCTGAAGGGAATCTACACTCACGAGGCAAGTCCAAGAACAAGATCTCATCAATGACACCACTGCTAAATTTGATTTCATTAAGTCTAGGGAGTACTTCAAAAGTTGCCTCTATTGACCCCCAGCAAGAAAGAGAAAAAAAGGGTTACAACATTTAACATGAAGGCTAAAGTTTAATATATATGGGCATGAGATGAATGAAACTTCAACAGATTCTGCAGTAATCTCAACATCAATCGTGACTACATTATGCATATATATCTGCAAATTTAGCAGTAAAGAGAAGAAAATTGCTATTATAATCTAGATGAAGAGAGTAACACAAAATATACTTTAACTACTGCCATAATTCTTTGACACCTGTTCCCTATAACAGTAGAGCAAAAGAGACAAGGTTGGAATAATTAATGATTTAATACGAAGTAAGCAAGAAAATAGATACACTAAGGAACAGGTGCTTAAGGGGTATAAGGGAGCTAGGAGTCTTCCCATTTTGACTCTAGGAAGCAGTGGTGT